TCTAGATCAAAGAACAACCTCCCTGATCTCTTTTTTGATTACAAACTGAGTTCTCAACCCTAGAAAAGTCGTGTTTCTATTTATACTAAACCGAAATCCCAACTAGAGCAGGAAACAGACCCAGGCCCGGAACTGCTACGCGGTCGACCGCAGTGCCCAAGGCGGTCGACCGGTCAGAACGACAAAAACTGGAAAAATCGATTACAATGTTTCCGGTCGACCGCAGCGCCATCATCGGTCGACCGCTATTTTCCGGTCGACCGCAGAGCCTTCATCGGTCGACCGCTCTCAGTCCCGAGACACCCACTAGGAGATGAAAAGTAACTCCGACATCTGCCTCTTAGAGTTGTGCAATTTTAAGTGATAAAAAAATAAGAGTGATTAGACCAGTGCTCTAAATATTAGTAAGTCGTGGTGCTCAGGGCCCAGGGGCTGGATTCAGCAGTCAGAAGCTTTGGATCGTGGTAAGTGCTTGGCCTAAAAGCACCAAGAAATCCCCTTTTTTAATTGTCAAAGAAAATGAACCTATTACTATATAAACCCTATATTCCACGCTAATCCAAAGAGTTGGTTTCACCCCCACTTACCCCCTCTAGTTACTGCTATCTCATGTCAGATGTCCCGCTTTCAGCACCAATTTTTGGCTTACCCTCTCTATCTCACTTGACCTCCTCTAGACTGTCGCAGTCCTCTCTCTCTCTTTTTTCTTCCTCTCAATATCTTCTGTGGTTCTCTTCTTACAGGTTCAACTCGCAATCTCATTTTTCATGGGTTATCTCACTGCTTCATGACTTCATCACATCATCATAGAGGATCTTATGACCTCCCTCAACCATCTACCACTATTTGGTGGCAAGTGGCAACTTCAGGCATTTCTTTAGAATTCATTTTCAATCAAGTTAAGTAATTATTAGAGTAGTATATTAGTGATTGTACATTCAAAATATGTATAAGTGATAGCAGTGCAGACTTTGGTTAAGTGATTTAGTTTTCTAAAATAAAATTTAACAGTACTAATATAATGGTAAAACAGATTTCAATTTACTAAAATTCATCATTAAATATTTTAAAAGATTTCATTTTTTTCGTAATTTAGATAAAATTTAGTAGTACTAATACAATGGTAAAACAGATTTCAATTTACTAAATTTCATCATTAAATATTTAAAAATATTTCATTTTTTCAGTTTTCACATTTTTTGAATATAAGAGTAAAATGTATAGTAGCAAATTATTGATCTAAAGTTTTAATTTGACTAGTATGGTAAAGGGAGATTAGACTTTGATTAATAACCTACTTGGACTAGGTTTCTAAGATCAAAAATTTGAATTAATGAACTAACTAGTTTAATTACTGATTTCATAAAACATAAACTGATCATAAACTGAAATTATTAAATTGTGATAATCCAACAGCTTAAGATCTTAACTTAGATTTTTTATAATTTTACCTTACATCCTTGATTTTGGTTTATATGACTAATAGGATTGTTATTATGCTTGAAATTTTTTTCTCATGTGATTTAGTTTGTTAATTGTTGTTGTTGAGTAATAATGATTTGGTGTTATATAAGTAATTAGTATGCAGTAATATTTTCTCATTTTTGAAAATTTTTCCATCAAAGAGGCTTGGAACTCAGAAGAATCAACAACTAATGGTCTTTAACTAAACATTTTTACCTTTTTTATACTGGTTTAAATTCTGTTTATGGGCCGGCCATGCTACTTCAGATGTTTATTTTGCGTTCTCTTGTTTTTATGGTCAATACCATTTGGAGAAGTTTGGAAGAGCTTTGATCATGCACTTAACAGTAGTGCTTACTTTTCATTCATAATTTTGACTTGTATATGTTAATATTGTACACTATGAATTCATTCAATCTCAATGTTATTACATTAAACATTTGCTCTGCTGAAATGTTGAACATAGACATCATGAACTATAAGATCCATTGACATCAGCAGATAAATATGCTTATTTGTCTAATTTTTCCTTTATCCTTATTTTTCTGTCTTTTTTAAGTTTATGTTACCATCTGCTCTTCTACAGTACACGTACTTCGTTATTTTTAGATTGACCAGGCATTTTTGCCACTTAAGCCCCATTGAAGTTATAAAAGCCTAAGCTTTGTCACCTCTTTGCTCCATTTTATTCGTTACACAACCTTGGATAAGTTCTATGAGACATCTGTCAACTCTCAGCATAACTTCCTTTCCTACTTCTGTGAGGTTTTGCAACCAAAAAAGTACAAGAATTTAATTTTGGGATTCAGCATTTTAGATTATGAGAAGTATAATAAAATGGTTTCATTTAAAAAATCCAACACATAATATTCAGTTAAAACAAATATGCTGAGATAAAAAGAAATCCTCCAAGTTTATTGCAGTCACTGATTCCATTGTAATCAATCACAAAAGCGGAAGTATGGCAAGACAGATTACCTTTTTCCATGACTTTTTAATCCATTTCGTCTTGAATGTGTCCAAATCATCAATTACCCAAGGTCGGGAGACAAGATTTTGACAAGTTGTCATAAAAGACATGCCAACCCTAGCAAAAACTTCTGCAAGCTACATTAACAGAAACAAGAAGAATATGTGACAAGCTATAAAGATTTAAAACATAAATTTTACTTTAAAAGGTTATACTACAAAGGAACTATTAGAAATAGTGTGCATTGTCTATCTGCAAGCTAAGAAATTTTGATTATGACACGAAAATTTTGATGGCCACACTTGATTTCAGAGATCTCACTACAAATAGTAATGTGAAGTGTCCTACTATGGGTAAAGCAAAAAATATATATGCAAGACAGGAAAATCATATATTACTAGAAGTTTTTACCTAACCTGCAGTTCTTTGATTCACAGGAATTATCAATGCTTTGGAAGATCTAAACATTGTTAGCCCCTTGATGGAAGTTCACACAGCTAAGATCCATGCCTTTTCCATGTTTAATGGCCATGCAGTAGGTTCACAAAGCCTCTCGTCACTGACATAACTTTGATTACAACATTACAGTGAAGCAGATAAGAAAGCAGAACCACAATATATTGAAAAGTAGCAACCCTCAGGATATTACAAGTTCAAGATGCTAGATGTTTTTTTAAGGGTTATATACCTGTACGATTAGAAGAGATGAGATATTTATCTCAAAGGCACTGCCTTTTCTTATATCAAGCAGACCAGGACGATCTTGTTTTCAGTTGATTTCTAGATTCTATTCCAAATCTCATGAAATTTATTGCTGTTGGCATGATTCTTTCCATGGTTCTTTAATCATTAAATGATTATCCTGTGTTGCTAAGTACTTCCAAAGTAAAAAGATTCTTCTGGCAACAGAAATTCTGGGGGGGCACCTAGACAGCAGAAACATGTCTACTATGAAGCTGTATCTATTTTCGAATATGAGTTCAACATGACGCCACTTCTAGGAAAAAATATTGGACACTTATTTCAGCCAAGCTGAATGTTAATTAGAAATACAATTTCAGATTGTTTGACATTCAACGCACTCCTATAATTCTTTGATAATGCAACGGACATACTGAAATATGATTTCCTTTTTTATACGTTAAAAAAATTATTTATGGAGGATGCAAGAGTAAAAGTTCATTTTGGCATATTAATATAACTGTTCTATGTTTCAATGAAGGAAGTTAAACACATTAAGCTCGTCTACAATAAGATGAGAAACAAAAGCCAAACCAATTGCCTAAATAAAGTAAAACTTTGAAATGATGTGATCTTAAAAACCCAATAGACTGTCAACTAATATGAAAACTAATCTTTATAACAAATGACATAACTATCTGACAACTAATACAAGATAATCAAAAGTATCAAAGAATTTTTCATGGAACCAACCATAGCCATGAAATGGTTCTCCCACTTAAGTATCTACGAATTTTTCATGGAACCAACCATAGCCATGAGATGGTTCTCCCTCTTCAGTAAATATACCAAATATTCAAAAGTGGCATTCAAAAGGATATTTATGAAATACAGCATATGTAACCTTAATAGTTTGTACCTGTGCAGATCCCAAATCAAATATATTGCCCGCCAAAATACCCTTAATCAAGTTCTCAACACGCTCGCCATCATCTTCAATAGCATCATTAAGTTGAACAACTCCCTCAAAGAGTGCAATAGCTTTAGCATTCTCCTCATCCTAATATAGATTGGAGCACATCAGTAAATTCATAATCTAAAAAACAAAAGCATTAAAAAGGGAACCTGGAGTTTTTTTCCCCTGAAAACATACCTTAACCTTTTTAAATATGTCTCTGAAACCTAGTTCTCTAAGGACCTGCTCACGAAGCCTGCAAAGAAGCTAAAATAAGCAGGCAATATTAGTTACAACTTGATACTGACTTTTTATACACAAAAACAAAATTCATAAATTTTGGGAGGAAAATCAACTTTTAGCTTCAAAGGGATATGAGAACTAACTTATAACAGTTTGCTTACAATGCCATCTGGGGGGCCACCATGACTCTCAGGATCCTTCTTTATGTCTTCAAGAATTGCTGTGTACCTATCAACACCACAAGACAACAAACTAGACAGACTTGAGATGCTTATAATGACATTTGCCTTGCTTCAATCTGATGTTATTGCACTATTATCACAAATAGAGAATAATACAAGATAATTGTAATGGATCAGAGAAATTAATTTAAGCAACATGTCTATGAATAATTGGCAGTTCATGATCAGCTGCATAAGAAGATGACTGACAAACCATTTACCAAAGTAAGCATACTCTTAAAGAAACAAATGAATTATCAATTTAGCTGATGTCAACTTAAGCATATTTAAGCCCAACCGCATCTTTTTTGGTCAAGGAAGGGAAAAATAAAAATAATATATTTGTACCGATGAGAGGGAAGGAGGGGGGAGAATAATATAATTGTACCGAAAGGGGGGCCATAAACGAAATTTCAGATAGCAGTGACATCCCTGGATGAAATAAGTCAATTAAATATTCTGCTAATATAAATCAACAAGTCCTCAACGTAATCCTAATTTAGTTATTAAAGAGACAAAGTAAGATAAAAGTGAAAACACAATCAAGCATGATTATATGGCTTATTTAAAAAAAGGCATTACTTTGAAATTGCACGAAGAGAAATATGGTAATCTATACAACTTGTATATCTCCAATATGTTTTTCCATAACATGTAAGCTCTTTAAACGAGAATATGTGAAGGATATAAATGAGCATGCATACCCTATCTTCCTTTTGCATGAGTCAGAAACATGTCAAATATGAAAAGTCTCCCCTCATGTTAAAAAATTACTTATGTCAAATTATTGAAGAATTTTCAAACTAATTGGTTTTCGAGTGGTAGCAACTACAAACTTCTGAGTATGTAAATGAAGATCTCAAGGGGTCTATCTTTAGTTGAATAATAAAAGCACCTCTGAGCAAATTTTTCAGCTTTTTCGGGGGCATCCACAACTGTACTGTCATTCTCAGCCCTTTGCCTGCACCAAAGCTAGTTCTGGTGAGTATTGCCTAACAAGGAAACAGTAAGACAAAAAAAAGTTATGCCAGAGCAAATTCATATGTACAGATACAAGTCAGGAAATATTTCAACGGAAGTCAAAGTCATGCCAGAACACATTCACATTTACAAACATTAAGTAATTTATCTACAAAAAAACTTATCAAGAAGTTTACTAAGCAAAATGAAACGCAAAGTGTCAGATGCATCATGCCACCCGTGTCCAGAAATCAAGCCTGACAATTTTAGGTGAATGAAGGATAATCTGCTATGAAGATGAGATGACCCAACGTTACAACTAAATGACCAATTGATGAATAAGGTGGATGAAAGAAAAGAAAGAAAGACTTCATAATAATCACATGGACCACAAGCATAAGATGGTACAATAATCACATGAAAACTTCCAAGATGCTTCACCCAGGAAAAATAAACATTCAACAAAAAAAACATTTACCTTTTAGCATAAATCAAAGTAGTTGACCAGTCAAAAAGAATAGCTTGCTCACAAGTAATACATTTTTGCATATTTGTGTAGAAAAAAAATTCTTTTATATATCGTTGCTTTCACGACACATGCAATCTGTTTCATTGTTGTCCGTGGACATTTCTCATCTATTGATATGAAAATTTATATTATAGGAGAAATTTTCAAAATAGCCTCATTCCCAAATTTAATCCCAAAAATCGACCCAATCTAAGAATATTTAGACATTGACCCCAATTTTTGGCCACGTCAGCATCGTGGCCAGAAATTGGGTCGTTTAAAAAAGAAGTGAACTTCTAATTAATCGGTGTTGCCAACCCTGACTAATTAGAAACTCTTCTAACTACGAGCGGGGTTAGCAAAAGTCGTCTTAGGGCCAAAGTAGTTGGGGGTTCCCAATCCCGACCAAAATTATCAGTGTTGGGAACCCCGACCAGTTGGACGAAGCAAATTTACCCATTAATTCTTTCCTCCTACTCTGTAATGCTCTAATTTTCCCATTTTCTGAGTTTCGAGAAAAAAAGGGGTTAAAAAATAGCGATTAGGGCAAGCGAGAATTCAAAAGATCCACAACGGGGAATCATCGTCAGTAGCAGCAGCAGCGCGAGGAACTCAAGGGAATTGAGTTGTGTTGCTGGCCTGAAGTGCTAACTGGGCTTAATCAGGGCCCTGAAAATGGAGTCTTGCTTCTCCTTTGACGGCGGCAGCAGTAGCGCCGTCGAAGGAAGCTCGATGCCGACATCGCCACTACTGTCGCCGGGGTCAAAGAAGTCGAGGAGGGGAGGCAGCGGAGGGAGGAGGAGACCAGGGTGGTTGTCGCTAGAGTGGGAGCACTAGCAGCTCATGCAGAAGATCCCTAGGAGGAGGTTTCTTAATGGGGCAAGCTCTGTTGCTTCTTTGTTTACTCAGTAGGGCTAGAGGAGAACAAACCAGGATGATATGATTGTTTGTGAGGTTTGACCTTTAGAAATCTCATCAATTTTTGCCTTGTCGAGTGGGTCGGGTGGGCATTTTATAAGTGGGGGGCCCACCATAAGTGGGTGGGCATTTATAAATTCGCTAAATTCGCCTCGGCGAGAAAGCCATGCTCTGCCAAATGGTCGGGGTTCCAAACCCCGACAATTTTGGTCGGGGTT